TGTATGTTCTATACACGCTAGATCTATGTCTGTACGTGAAGAGCCTTGGCTCTCTATGGCACCACCAAGGTAGTTCTTGGTCGCGCGAGCAACTATTAGCTGGTAAGCAAAATAAATAAATAAATTTTCATTTCAATCAATTTATCTCTGCTTGTTTCGTTTTAGTTCCATTCAACTTTTCAATTCAATTCAATTCAATTCAAATGTAAGTATAATTATACTTTCGATTCTGTTGTTTTATTTTTTTGTAACTTTGTTTTTTTTTCGATTTTTAAAATAAACATTATTCAAATAACTCAAATTTTTTCTTTTCACTTTAACTTATAAATAATTTCACTTGAATCATAAATATTTTTATGTTAACAATAAATAATTTCAAAAGAGCTCAAATTTTATTTTCATTTCATTAATAAAATAATTAATTTTACTAATAAATATTTTTATGAAAATAATACAAAACTTTATTTTTTCCTTTAAATCATAAATATTTTCAAAACAATTAATTTTTTTCACTTTAATAATTAATATTTTTTGCGAAAAATAATTTTTATTTAATTCATTTCTTTTCATTTAACAAATAAATGAAAGAAGAGAAGAAGAAAAGAAACATATGACCTAATTTTATATTTTTTTCTTTTCTTTGAAGCGAAAGAGTAAAAAACAATTTTTTTTTTTGTTCATTTATTTCAAAGTAGAGAAAAAGAAACGAACAAAGAAATAACAATTCACAAGTCTTATTCGATAGAAAATCGTTGAACACGATGATTATAACAATCGACGATATAGAGATTACCATGTCGATCGAAAGACAAACCACGGGGGTAGTTGAACTGATTTGCTCCTTCTCCTTGACCATTACCACCCACAATCACAGTGCCTTGCTTCTTGTCTCCTTGAGTAAAACGCATTACACGATGATTCCCCCAGTCTGCTACATAGAGTGTACCCAACGTATCAACGAAAATTCCTTGAGGAGAAGCCAATTGTGTCAGAGCATCTCCGTAGCCTTGCCCTCCAGCGACCACAATACCTTGTTTTGCATCTTCCACCCATTTCATTACACGATGATTGTTCCAGTCTGATACGTATACTGAATGATCTCGATCGACAAAGAGAAATGTCGGCTCGTTGAGTTGACTGAGACCATCACCTCTATCATTACCACCAGCTACGAGAGTGCCATTCTTCTCACCCAATTGATATCGCCTTACTTCATCTTTTCCGACGTCAGAGACGTAGAGATATCTCTGTTCATCCATTGCTAATCCCCAACAGGCGATGTTGTCGATGAGTATTTCTACTTGTGTTGTACCACTACGACGAGACCATCGTACAACTCGTTTGTCATCACAAATAATGAGACTACCCGTCTCTTTGTCAATTAATACATCAGTTGGCTGATTCAATTGATGTAATCCATTTCCTTGGCCTTTACCACCAGCAACAACTCGTCCATTCGTTGTATCACCGTTCTTCCATTGCATGATACGATGATTCCAGTAGTCAACAATAACCACTGTTTGATCATCATCAACGAAGAGACCAACAGGGCCGTTGAATTGATTAGTGGCACCCCCAAACCCGTAACCTCCAGCAA